ATTAAAACATAGTATTCAAAAGGCAAATTTGAAACTATAGGATAATGTAGAACTGCTATAAAAAATGCCACATACTAGATAGCTTATAAATAACAGACATTTATTTCTCACATTTCTGGAGCCTGAGAAGTCCAGAATCAGGGTGCTAACTGATTCATTATCGGTGGTGAGAACCAGCATCTTCATTCTGCAGAGTTGACTTTTTGCCATTGTTTCATATGGTGAAAGGGGCAAGCTAGCTTTGGGGGGCATTTTTATGAGGGTACAGATCCCACTAATGAGTGCTCTGCCCACACCTTATCACTTCCCAAAGGCCTTCCATCTAATATCATCATGTTGGAGGTTAGAATTTCAACATACGGGTCTGGGGAATGACGCATAAATGTTTAGTCTGTAGCACATATCAGTGGTTGTTATCAGAGTCAGAAGAGCTTGATGAAAATGATTTTTCTGGAGGGATCCTACAGCTGAGTATGGATGGTTTCAATGAAATAGTGAACACCAAAATAAGATTTCAGCAATTATAAATAAAAAAAACAGATCGTTGGAGCCTCACGTTATCTTGTTAAGGCTTACACATTTTTTAAAAATTTATTTTTATTTTTTGTATTTTATTCTTTTGATACAAGGTCTCGCTACACAGTTTAGACTTGTAGTGATCCTCCTGTCTCAATCTTCCCAGCACTGGGATTACAGGTGGGCCAGCATGGCATGTGGTATCAGGGATCAAACTGTGGTCCTTGTGCTTGTCAGATAGGCGCTTAGCCATCTAGCTGTCTCCCCATTGCCATTTATCTCCTCAGTGAGGCTTACTCATTTGTGACGTAAAGGAGGAAATGTATTATGTGTGCACAGACCTCATGCTTAACTTCCATACACACATCTTTTGTGCAGAAAAGATTAAGAAATGTTAAGTATAATAAAATCTCATGTGGTCATTTAGGAAATGATGTCAGTAGTTGCCTTATTAATATCACCATTCAGGCTACTTTTGTTGTTGTTTGTTTTTGAGATAAGCTCTTGCTATGTAGTACAGGCTGTCCTTGAAATCTCTGTGTGACCCAGGCAGACCTTGAATGCAGCAGTCTTCCTGCCTCAGCCTCCTGAGTGCTGGGATTACAGGAGACCATTCAGTTTTTTATAAAACCTATTACTGACTATAAAACATATATGCAATATTCAGTTTTCTGTTTTATAATGAAAAGAGTCTGTTCTGTGAATATATCCATTAGGAAAAGAATTCAGAGGCTAGTAGGAAGCATAAGGTAAATTAGCATGGATATGAAATTGGTTTGAGAATTAAGTACCTATAGACAAAAAGGGTTAGAAACAGCTTCTGAAAGAGGTTCTGTAGACCTTGTTATGAAAATTGTATTCAGTTAGACACAACGGCTATAGTGCCATAGAAATGACTGGTAATGTTTTTTGACTAGTACCTATTTCCTGGGTGCATGGAAATAACCTTTTAGGGAAATTAGGTATTTACTGTGTAAATACTGGAAGTTTATTGGGGGCAAATTAATAACTGAAGAGAACATCATAGGTTATTGTAAAATGAAGAGAATTTTGACAATACAGTGAGTAGAAGTAGGTAAATGAGAATGTTTTTCCCCTCTATTCCTTTCATTCAAAAAGCTTTCTTTAAGAAGTAGAGAAGAAACAGGCCAAACTTGGTGGTACACGCCTGTAATCCCAGCACTTGAGAGACTAAGGCAGGAGGATTGCTGTGAGTTCGAGGCTAGTCTGGGCTACAATGAGCTCAAAGCCAGCTGGACTGCTCAGTAAGACCTTGTCTCAAAACAAAAAACAAACAAAAGATAGAGAAGGAATGAGACAACTCCTGACAAGTAATAGTAACATGGATACAATATAACTTATGGGGCATAGTTTTAGCTCAAAGTATACTGTTAAAATTTTTAATTTCTAATTAATGATTACCTGAACTGCTTAGTGTTTTAACATCATTGAGACCACAAGTAGTTTCTTCAATATTTTCCCAAGTGCTTAAGACACTTAATTCTCTCTCTTGACTTCCTCTTCATCTTAGAAAGTGCAATTTCCTTTGTAAGGACAACTTCCTGCTGGGTGCTGTTCTTTTCAGCCACTTCTGTCTTGGGTGTCTTGTGTTTTTAATCTAAAGCCATAAGTGCATTGCGACACTAGCCGTTTCATCATGGTGCAAATTGAGAAAGTCTAGCAGGAAATCACAAGTTGATTGTCCCCAACACAAGCTTTGTATTTCTCAGTTGCTGTGTCATGATAGACAGTTGGTAATCTGAATGGCAGTTAAGCGGAAGACACTATAGAAAAGACTTCTTTTCTAGAAATGTATTTTTGAGTGTAATCATCTGAGTAGCAAAATATATGTCTGAAAAAAATATTAAAAATATACTGTTTACCCATTTAGTCAAATTAAGTTCATTAATTGTCAACATGGAATATGCTGTTTTGTCTGTTTCTTTATATTTTTTAAGCTCCTACCCACTCCCGTTGTAGGAGAATCTTTTCCTTTAAAAGCATGGAAAGAAATTTCCATTTGTTGGACCTCCCTTTCTGTCCTCTTTTCTGCACTGTCATTCTTTTATGTAGTGTTCATCTCATCTTTTCTATGCAGGAACTTGTTTTATGATTATCTCTTGAAAAGCTGGCTGTGTAGGCACAGAATGGGTCAGAATGTAGTGAGTATATTACTTACTGTAGAGTTTTTTTTACCTCATAATTTTATTGAGAAATAAGTAGCAATGAGGCAGTTTCAAATCAAATTGGTAGGGCATTTCCAATAATTAACATACTGCATACTGCCTTCCTAGTGGTTATCTTTGTTGTTTGTAGAGTCTTTACTTACTGTATAGTTAATATACAGTAAATAAATCCATAAATTTGGTCCTGGGCCCTGGAGAGTTTTCCTTGTGTGTCCCATGTAACATAGGAAAAAAATCTGATTGTTCTCCTCACAAGGCTGAGGGAACTTCTTCAGTTTCCTGCTCTATCAACTGCAGAAATAACACAAAGTGTAAGTCTCTTTGTTTTTGCTTAGATAGAACAGTTGCCTCTAGGTCTCCCAGGACATAAAGGAAAGATATATTGCAAAAGGTTTTGTCACAGGAATTTTGAAGTGTTAGGAGGAGAAA